AGCATAATAATATTATTAATATAAAATTTATAACAGAAATAAAATAAATGAAGTTAATAAATATGTACACTGTATAATAAACATTATTTCCTATTAATAAATAACAGTCTTTTTATTTAACCTTCTCGACCATCCCTTAATTACTCCTTATTCGCGACATAATCCAATTCTTTCATGTTGTTAGAATTAGAAAATACAGAGTGCATTACACAAGCAATTAGATTTTAGATAATTACGATTTAATCGATTAAGCGGTTTTTGTCAAGTTCTACTGTGCATACAGTAATTCTTCCCGGATTCGCCGAACTTCAGTATTCTCGGGTTCGCGCTGTGATATTGCTATGGCCCTGTGATTTATCGATTTTCTCGCTACGCCGATGCTGAGACTCAACGGTGTCGGTGAACACGTGTGTCCGAATTCATAATATAATGACATAACTTTTTTCAATGTTAACATTTTAAAACTGATTCTTGTAACATATTTCTGATAGTTTTTTTATTAAAATGAGACCAAACATGAATAGTTCGGACAAATATTTCTGATTAAAATAAAATAAAACACACACATGATATCATTTCAATTACATTCATTTACTTAAATAGTTAATGTATAATTTTGCTGAATAAAGGCATCGAGGTGAATTGACCTTTACTTTGGTAATTGTTTCATTGCTTTACGAATATTGTCGTTGTCACGCCGTAACAACGATTCGGACGAGAGTGACGAGTCGACTCTTTTCCGCACAGAAAAACGAGGCTTCGATTACAGCCTTTGTCCATCGTCGCCATATTTGCAACCAATCCATCCAGTTTCGATGACTTCGTATCTAAACTGTGTCGTTCCTCCTCGACGTTCGACCATTCATACTCCAAGACCTTTTAACCCTTTCGCTACTACGGACCACTATAGTGGCTTTCCATATGGTGCCACTGAGGTACCTGTCTCTTATACACATCTAGATGTGTATAAGAGACAGGTACCTCAGTGGCACCATATGGAAAGCCACTATAGTGGTCCGTAGTACCTCAGTGGCACCATATGGAAAGCCACTATAGTGGTCCGTAGTACCTCAGTGGCACCATATGGAAAGCCACTATAGTGGTCCGTAGTACCTCAGTGGCACCATATGGAAAGCCACTATAGTGGTCCGTAGTACCTCAGTGGCACCATATGGAAAGCCACTATAGTGGTCCGTAGTACCTCAGTGGCACCATATGGAAAGCCACTATAGTGGTCCGTAGTACCTCAGTGGCACCATATGGAAAGCCACTATAGTGGTCCGTAGTACCTCAGTGGCACCATATGGAAAGCCACTATAGTGGTCCGTAGTACCTCAGTGGCACCATATGGAAAGCCACTATAGTGGTCCGTAGTACCTCAGTGGCACCATATGGAAAGCCACTATAGTGGTCCGTAGTACCTCAGTGGCACCATATGGAAAGCCACTATAGTGGTCCGTAGTACCTCAGTGGCACCATATGGAAAGCCACTATAGTGGTCCGTAGTACCTCAGTGGCACCATATGGAAAGCCACTATAGTGGTCCGTAGTACCTCAGTGGCACCATATGGAAAGCCACTATAGTGGTCCGTAGTACCTCAGTGGCACCATATGGAAAGCCACTATAGTGGTCCGTAGTACCTCAGTGGCACCATATGGAAAGCCACTATAGTGGTCCGTAGTACCTCAGTGGCACCATATGGAAAGCCACTATAGTGGTCCGTAGTACCTCAGTGGCACCATATGGAAAGCCACTATAGTGGTCCGTAGTACCTCAGTGGCACCATATGGAAAGCCACTATAGTGGTCCGTAGTACCTCAGTGGCACCATATGGAAAGCCACTATAGTGGTCCGTAGTACCTCAGTGGCACCATATGGAAAGCCACTATAGTGGTCCGTAGTACCTCAGTGGCACCATATGGAAAGCCACTATAGTGGTCCGTAGTACCTCAGTGGCACCATATGGAAAGCCACTATAGTGGTCCGTAGTACCTCAGTGGCACCATATGGAAAGCCACTATAGTGGTCCGTAGTACCTCAGTGGCACCATATGGAAAGCCACTATAGTGGTCCGTAGTACCTCAGTGGCACCATATGGAAAGCCACTATAGTGGTCCGTAGTACCTCAGTGGCACCATATGGAAAGCCACTATAGTGGTCCGTAGTACCTCAGTGGCACCATATGGAAAGCCACTATAGTGGTCCGTAGTACCTCAGTGGCACCATATGGAAAGCCACTATAGTGGTCCGTAGTACCTCAGTGGCACCATATGGAAAGCCACTATAGTGGTCCGTAGTAGCGAAAGGGTTAAAAGGTCTTGGAGATGTGTATAAGAGACAGCTATAGTGGCTTTCCATAAGATGCATTATATTGCATAATGTTATTTCCTCTCATACTGTAAATTAAAGAGCGCATGCTAAGACGTTATAAAATACCCTGGAATACCCTTTATTTATAAATACCCTTTGGAGAAAAATTTTTTCGTTCGAAAAATTCATTCAATTCAAACAGCTTAGGTTCTCCGCCGACCGCCGCGGAGTACCGACTTCAGCTGACGATCGCCGTCGCGTAGCGTGCAGTGATGTCGCAGCGCTCTGTTCAGCAGAAGTACCGCGACGGAGAATCCGCTCGTAGCGAAAGGGTTAAAATTCCAGCGTTGACGGAAAAAGTACAGTAAACAGTTCCTTCACACTCTCTGTCAAACACTTAGGTTCGTTCCACCGAATTTCCATCGAATAATGGCGTGGAACTGTAGTCGAATCGTCGCTGGCTTCCCGGAATCACAGTTGAATCGTCGCTGGCTCCCCGGAATCGCAATCGAATCGTCGTCGGCTGTCGGCAATCGCAGTCGAATCGTCGCTGGCTTCCCGGAATCACAGTCGAATCGAGGCCCGAATAGCGTAACTTCATTGATATCTTCTTTTGAACGACGTACATACCTTCTTTGACGTCGCCTTTAACCCTTTCGCTACGGGCGGGTTCTCCACCGCGGTACTTCCGCTGAACGGAGCGCCGCGACATCACTGCACGCTACGCGACGCCGATCGTCAGCGGGAGTACCGCGGCGGAGAACCCAAGCTGCTTGAATGTTTTCGTACGAAAAAATTTCTCTCCAAAGGCTATTTATAAATAAAGGGTATTCCAGGGTATTTATAACGTCTTGGCATGCGCTCTTTAATTTACAGTATGAGAGGAAATAAAACATTATGCAATATAATGCATCTTATGGAAGGCCACTATAGTGGCCCGTAGTACCTCAGTGGCATCATACGAAAGGCCACTATAGTGGCCCGTAGTACCTCAGTGGCATCATACGAAAGGCCACTATAGTGGCCCGTAGTACCTCAGTGACATCTTATGGAGGGCCACTATAGTGGCCCGTAGTAGCGAAAGGGTTAATACTTTTCTAATGTTTTTTTCGTTATAATTGCAATTTGTATAATGAAATAGAATAAGTTACTTGCTACGCGTATGGCCTAAAGCAGGGGTGTCAAACTCAAAAGCTAACCTGGGCCAAATAAACAATGCTTAACTTTAGGTGGGCTGCAAAAAAAAGATCAATGTTCATAGAAACAAATATTTTTATTTTGACTAGTACATTGTAATAAACATATATAAAGTTAAATTATTGTTTACGTCCTGATACTTGACATCTCTCTTCCCTGATACTATCTTTCCTATTTCGGGAGAAATTTTATTGGCCGAGACTATTTCTATTTTATTTTTACTTTGCGTCGGATATATTGACTGGGCCGCAAAAATGTTCATCTCGGGCCGCGAGTTTGACACCCCTGGTCTAAAGTAAGTCATGTTTCGTATCACTTTAATTGGAACAATTTGGCCAGTATATTAAACAAAATTTTCATGTATACAGAATTAGAAATAAAAAAGTTAAGTCATCGTTTTTATTCTAGTATTACAATGTGTTTGCCTTTCCAGGTATGTACATAGTTTCATTCTATCTCTCTCTTACTCTCATAAAGAGTCGGCAAGTGTAAAGGCGAGCCACAAGGTCCGAAGAATCATGTCTTACTGGTCCCATATCTGCATGTGTGTGTGTTTCGATTTCGACTAAAAACATCTATGGGAGAAATTGCTATATTTATAAAATTCATATTATTAAGCATTCTGTACTTATATTAATTATGCAGTTGAAATATTTGATAGAAGAGAATAATTTGAATAATTATATACACGAGACTCATTTAATTGTTACATTGATTTTAAGTTTCTCTTAGTGACTAACACATTTACAGAATCAAATGATATTGAAATTATTTTTATATCATTAACGACACGCATAAGTACAGATAATTTCATTCGCAATTTTCGTAAGTGCGAATTTATTCATATTTAAAAGAATTAACTAAATAACATTTAAATAGTATTTAAAATGAATATCTTTAAGGATAAGGTGAACAGAATTTGAAACATTATTAACAGAATTATATATTTATAAATTACATACATAAATAAGAAAAATACATGGATAAATTAATTTGCTTATTAATTAATTTGCCTGAAGTATTTATGCAATAACATTCGATCAATTTGAGACACTGTAACTGAAACGCTATTCATTTTGCATGCAAAGATTCATTGGAATCACAGAACAGAATATGTTTGCATATTAAATACATACAGCGGTATTATTAAATAGAAACTCGATTAATCTGCCTGTACATTATAGGTTATTTCACTTGAGTTATTTATGGCATAAGTTATCCCTTCTTTGCTAAAACTAAACATCAACTGGCAATTCAAATGATTTAACATACAAATATCGTATCAATATATTCCTTCGTATATCTTCTTTCGTATCTTCATCGCATTATAATACAAATATCGAAACGAAGTAACATCGCAACAGTTACTGTTACACGGCATGTTACAACAAATTACCTCTAGACGATCTCAATTGTACAAAGACTTACAAGAAAACGCTGGTCCAACGAATGAGTAACGGTTTCACCGAAACGGAATAACTATGTTCCAAAATTTGTTCGACTAAAGTACATTCGAATATTCAAATAGGTAGAAGGGAAATTACAATTCGATTGTAGTACGATTTTCATTAACATTACTTAATTTTCTTCTGTATAATATTCATAGTACGATAGAGTTTAAAATCTACATAGAGAAATATAAAACATTCTTTCCTTATGTACAAATCTGTATTTTTCTACATGAACATCGAATTGTGTAGAGTTTCTAAGTCCTTCTCCCTTTCTACCTCGCGCTGTTTCTCTTTCCTGTACATTTCGTAGTCCTCATCGTCTGTAGGTAATTGGTGTCGGCAGAGCGGACACGAGTTCGTCTGAAAGTAAGTGGGAGATCGATTTTACCGACTAGACTATAGAATTTGTTTACAAAATCGGTAATGATGACTAGGAAAAATTGATACCTTATCTAACCACGGGATTATGCACTCCTTATGGAAAATGTGTTTACAGGGCATCCGCTTCGCGGACATGCCGTTTTCGAACTCTTTTAAGCATACAGGACATTGCTTCGACTCGGAAGAAGTGATTTCGACCTCCTCCAAGTTCTCGATAGCAGACTTCGAAGCAGGTGGTGGCAGCCTCGTCGTTTGCCCCAATAAATCCCACATACCGAAATCTCGTAAAAGTCTTGCCATGTGTATCAAATGATTCGGTGTCTCGCCGTCTTCTAACGGTGTCCAACCCATTTCATCGAAGTAGTCGGACATTTTTTGGTGACGAAATTTTTGCTAACTTTATGCACACTTAATTTCCCAATGTCTAGTCACTGCTCGCACTTTCGATTCGAACCGTATATCGTAAAATGAATGCGAACACACGGGATTTCTTCAACCGGATTTCACTGAACGTCTGTCACCGCAGCTAATGTTTGATATAGGAACCTCAAAGCAGCTGTTCGTCAAACTTAGAATAATAATATACTAGATGTCTGCACTATAACAAAACAACGCCAATAATTAATCTCGGAACTCTTATGAACTTCGCTGATGTCGATCGAAAAATAAACTATATTATCAGTTGTAGGTATGCGTGATGGAGGTTTTCGAACTGTTGACAATTTTTATTTGTTACGAATTTATTAATTCTAATCTTGTTTTATCGTAGATGAGATACAATGACAGGATTAAAATATTACTAATTTTTATGTCCCGGGTCTAACTACATTACCACTTCGACATATATTGCCACTGATTGCAACGTCCTCTTCTCATACACAACGGTCAAGTGTGTAACTATTCAAATTAACAGTATTGGTAAGCAAAAGGGAAAGCCTGCGCGAATGAAACGCGAATGAAAAGTTTAATTAAAATGCCGATGCTCCAAAGTTTCAGGTATTTCGTGCACCGTTAGCTGTTTTTAATAAAAATTTATTTGGTAAAATAGTTCAGGAAGTATCTGTCAACATTGTTGGCAAAAGGAATTGTTGCAAATATAAAACAATTAATTGAAACATTCATAATTGAAATGTTACTCGATATCTCGAAGTCGACTAGTTTATTTTTAAAAATTATGGTGAAGTAGCGAAGAGCGTCCCTAACAGCACTGCTGGCAGAAGAATTTATTAGAATAAATATTGAAGAGATAGAAATGGTCAATTTATCGGTGGAACATGCTCGATATAATAATAGAAGCATTTATGCTTTAAAATTTACTCGGTATCTTGACTACTATTAGTTACTTTTAATAACAAATTAGATAATAAAATAGTTGAGAGAATGCTTGACAACATCATTGATAAATGTGAATTTGATTATCATTTGAAGAACATTTTAAAACTGTTTCTAAACATTTTAAAAGAATTTGAAACTATATTCAGCTGTACTATAACTAAAATGTGACAAGTTATCTCCGAATCTATTAATGATATCGAAATTTCTTTTTTAGTTACAATGTACGATACTGATTTTCAGAGTACGTGATTTGTGGGAAGGTTAATTTATGACACCATCAATATTATATATGTAATAATAAAAGAAATTGTGCTAATGCAATATGCAATCTTATTCATTATCGAAAAATATAGTATCGATGATATAATTTTTAATTCAACAATCCCAACATTTTCGAATTTTGTGAAGTTGATAGATTAAAGATGTTTTCAGATTTAAAGGAAAACCTTTCACTTTTATTGATGACATTGATTGAAATTTTTGTAATGTCTACAAGCATAGTTATTTATATGTACATATATGTATGTATAGAAATAAATCAAGCAGAATCAACTTTTTAAATTTTCTGGACGAGCAAAGATTCCTTCTAATAATACAGGGTTCCCCGGAAAGAATCATCCGATTTCAAAAATTTATATTTTCAAAAATTACACACAGAAAATTATAATTCAAACACGAATATAACGGGAAAATGTGCGAGTTTTACTTTTTATTCCATTGGCACTTGGAGGTTCGGAATTTTCTTAACACGGAACTACCAAACCGTTAGATTGGTCGCAGTTCATCCGATAATATGGTTCTACACAGTTGGCCTCCGAGATCAGCCGACCTAACTCCATGCGACTTCTTCCTTTGGGGATTTGTGAAGGATCTTGTCTTTGTACCACCTTTACCTACAAGTTTAAATGAACTGAAGAAACGCATTTACGATGCTGTACAAACAATTACCAGAGATACATTACACCGTGTTTGGCAAGAACTTTCATATCGCAATGATATCATCCGTGTAACGAAGGAAGTCATATTGAACACTTGTAAACAAAAACTCACACATTTTCCCGTTATATTCGTGTTTGAATTATAATTTTCTGTGTGTAATTTTGTAAAATATAAATTTTTGAAATCGGATGATTCTTTCCGGGGAACCCTGTATAATAATTGTGATATCCTCTGCTTTTAATGATATAATTAATCAAGTTAATTGGAGATGAACTCGCGCAGTGAGAACTTCCCCTTCTGCAGTTTATTATATTTTATAGGTACCATTTTCATTGTCGTATGAGAGTTTGTGGCTTCCAAATCATAAAATGTTCCGTAATACAAGCAAGGTATACAGATTACTCGATCCTCATTAACAACACAGACTCAGGATCAGTACAGAGTAAAGACATTGCATCTTATGGGCTTGTAGCAGCCATCATACTGCTGCCAAACCCCCTTCATAAAATAGAAAACAGTCGTTCGTGCCGCCACGGACATTTCCAAATTCGAAGTTAACCTTTTAGGTACGGCTGAATTCTGCGCGAGGCTATTTCTGTGGACGGCAGAGTCTGATATGTACTGTACAGAGTGTCTGTATATTCTGTCTGTATATTGTTAAGATACAGTTATATTGTTAACAATTATATTGATAAGATAAGTCTGTATTTTGTAAATCGATGCGAAGACGAAAGAAGTGTGAAACAATGCATATGAAGACGATTATTTGATTGAAACGATGACCGAGTGAGCTACTAGAGTAAGCCACTATAGTGGCGCGTCGTGCCTAAAAGGTTAATAACAGGGGCTCGTACGAACCTACATCTGCACACCAGATCCCCCCGCATAGATATATATATATATATATTTATATATTTATTTATTGTACTCGGAGTTTTTCGAGACCGTTTTGGGGCCCGTCCGACCGTCGTAAACCAGACCCGAAGGATTTCCCAGCCTTCCATTCTTTATGATTCTTTTCCCGCTGTTGCCAACGATTTTCCTTCGACATCCTACTATCTCCTTTCCAACTCACCTCTGTCGTTTTCTTCCCCTTTCTACTAGTTGGTTTTCTGGTGGAGACCCCCAGAGTCTATCGAGATTTCTCCAGACGTGCGGACGCGAAATAGGCCCAAGAAATAAGCAGCGTTGATTGAGGTTTAAATGTGGTGAGTGTTAGGCTTAGGCTTTTAGGCTTTTAGGCCTTAGGCTTTTCTGTCTCAGTTTTGGAGGGCACCTTTGCATTTCGTGTCGCGCTCAACGTTACCGATAGTCCACGAAAAATAAGCACGTTAGCAAGAAGCGAATATCCTACATATTTCATTTCTACTGCGAGTGCTGAATATTATTTGGAGGTAATAAGTGTATCCGGCGCGAACATTCATAAATGATGGAAACATGTACTATAGAAATACGATATGAGCCGTTTATTTTGAAAGTGGCCTAAGTCCATTTATTTTAAAATCCAGATATTTAAGGTTTTTACGTTTTAATAAATTTAAAAATATTGCTAATTGATAACATGGTGGTACAATGTTTTTGTGTTCCTAAGGGTCACTGCATTCTTTCAGCTTTGCTGACATGAAATTATGTGTATAACGTAGAATTGTAAATATTAAAATAGCTAGCTCGGTGCTTTTGAAAAAGGACTTAGGCCACTTTCAAAATAAACGGCTCATATAAACTGTAATTATTTTGATGGTCACCTCAAACACACATTTTTCTCTGTGCAGTCGGATATAGTTCATTTAGGTAGAGTCCGCTATCGTATCACAGCATTTTCTACAGAGTCGGTAATTCAGACCCTGAGACGAAAACAAGCATTTCGTACAATGTTTGTGCGGCTCCTAAGGTCTGTGATTGTACCAAAATATCGTATGTACTCACTGTCAGATGGCGCCACGATTAACTTTTCTGAATGAGAAGTGACGAATTTATTATTTGCAACTTAGAATTAGTAGTATTTACAAAATTGACATAATGTATATCTATTTTCAAATGTACAATCGATTAACAACAGCTTCTCCTGTGCTTTATTTAACAAAAATTATTCATATGATGCATTTATAAAAAAATAAGGTGAAATTTGAAACAGTTAAAAGACTAAGAGAATTTAGAAATATTAACATATTATTTCCAACTTATGGAAATTATTGTTTTTCGTTTCATGCAGCTGATACAGAAAAATCTGGCGACTTTCAAATATTCCAAGTTTAGAAATTTAGTTTAATCGGAATCCTTCGCCTATATTTACCAATTGTTCAATAAGTAAATCTTTATACCTTTGCATTTTTAGTAACTATAAGCGGAGAATTTATACCTTCCTCACGATATGAAAGATTTTGATTTTCCACTTATATTTATTTTCTAAATGTTGCAAGTGTTTGCAACTTGTTAAACATTTCACAAAATCCTATGTTTAATTAATATATCTATTATATATTAATATATTATTACTGTATAGATATATTAATACATCGAACAAAGTGAAACCTTTTACCTTTATGGCATGCCGTATCCAAAATATGTAAAAAAACATTATCTTTTCTTATTAGATTTAACAATTTTCTTATTCTACAATATTGAAATCATAAAAACGCTTCCACTAAATATCATTAAATAAATGTATTCATCTAAATACGTATTAATATAAAAATTGGAAGACATCTAAATAAATTCAATCTTGTAATTTTTAAAAGACAACACAGACGAGTCACATTTAATGCCCGGTACGGTTAGTGTTAAATTCGTCTGTGTTATTATGATGTGGTTTTGTGTTTATGAAACGAGAATCTTCTCGTATAAAAGGTCGAGAGGGAACATTGTGATATTTCTCATACTACACAATGTTTTATTTATTTCATTTTATTATTTCAATGTAACATAAAAATCGTCGGAAATTATTGTGGCAGAATGAAAATAATACAAACATTAACATATTATTTTCATTCGACATTATATTTTAGAGAGTATATAAAATTATTCTCACAATTAGTGTCCTATGAACGCTTTAAATATTTCGATATTTTTAAGACAGTTCGCTTTCAAAATTTATCAAGCAAGTTAATCATGAGCAGACATGTCAATAGCCTTACGAACTTTTTTACTGGTCTCTTGTTTTAAACAGGGATTGAAAACAGTTATGATATTGATTATGATATTATGATATTGACTATGATTATGATTATGATATTATGATATTGATTATGATATTGATTATGAAACAGTTATGAAAAACCGAAATGTTCTCACAACTGTTATATGGTATACCGGTTTCGGTTCTTCAGAACTGTTACTATATCGGTTCTATAACTGTTATTTTTCAGTTTTGAGTTTTCATTATGAATTTCGGTTTTAATACTATTTCACGTAACAAATACATTGTATTTCCTTTGGGGATTCAAAGTATGGATTTTGAAATACTTTGTATCATTGACAAGCTGCGACTACGGCCAATTTTGTATTGTTTTCTCTATCGCACAGAAAAAGGCTGTGCAATCTCTTACACTACATTGAATTTTGCCAATACGTGTGCATATGACCGAAATTCAGAACCGAAAAATAACCGGTATATTCTCAAGAACCGAAACTGAAACCGGTATAAGACAGAACCGATATACCTCATAAATGTTATGAAACTTTTACGGTTCTCCATAACTTGTTCAGTCAGAACCGATATATAACAGTTTGAAACAGTTATTTTCGAAACCTTTTCAATTAAATACAGAGCATCCAAAATACTAGGACACCTTGTATATTATAAAATCCGGACACCTTCAAATGTTTACGTTTCGAACAGGCCTAGTAATCATCTCTTGTTTTTAAATTCCGTAGATAGGTGAACATCATACATCGCATGCTACATACAACAGTACAATCAAGGTTTCAGCACTGTCAATTAGTCGTGAAAACTACTTTTCGCGAAACTCGCAATATTTAAAAAGCATCAAACTTGACGAAAACTGAGTAAGTAAAATATTCTTATATTCTGTTTGCAAGTTATTGTAAGAACTTCAATTTATTGGTCTTTTTAAGGTAACAGAAAAATGGTACCGCCATTAATAATATCCAATACTGGGAATATGTATAGGCATTGGTTGTCATGGAAACTATGTTTCCTGGATTATATGAGAGATAATGATCTCTTTATAAAATCAGAAGCTTTTAAAATTAATCTTTTAAGAAATAAAATAGGACCAGGTGCTCTAAATTGTATAGAAGTTAATAAAATAATGTATAATACTTGTATTGAACATAAACTATGTAATTACTTAAAGGATCTTGATTTCTTTTTCCTTAGTATAAAAAATGAAGTTGTAGAACGCTTTAAATTTTTCACTAGATCTTTGCACGAAGATGAAACACTTGAACACTTTATCTACGATTTAAAAGTATGTTGAATCCATAAATGTTTATATTTTTTTCATATCACTAAATACATATTTTCATGTCATCTTTTCATACTTTAGCAAAAAGCAAGTACTTGTAATTTTGGATACCTAACTGAAAGTCTAATCAGAGATAAAGTAGTAGCGAGTATACATGACGGAGAACTTCGAGAAAAGCTGTTTATCACGATAAGCCTTGAATTGGAGACATTAGAGCTCATTTGTGAAGATCATAATAATCAGAAGAGGAAAAAAGAATTTTTCACGGATCGCATTAATGCTGCTACTGAAAAGATTAAGATCATTGACAATAATGGAAAGATTGTCGAAGAGAAACAAACAGAGGCTGGAGCCGTATGTAGTAATAATGATGTAAAGGAAGCTGAACAAAGTCAAAGCTTATATGAGCAAGTAAATGCTAATGACACAATTAATAAAGACTCTAAAAATGATAATGACAAGATTGCTTTTCAAGAAAATAGTAATATTAATAGCAGTAAGATAAATGAAAAAAAAACTGACGCTAAAATTTTAGGAAAAAAGCTAAAAATGCATACTTATCCTCAAGGAAATAGTAATGAAAATAACGAAGCTAAGAAAGATTTTGAAAATCGCAATAGTGACCATGACAAAAATACTGCATACCAAGAAAATAGTAATAATAATAATGAGACCAAGACGGATTTAAAAAGTGGTAATACTGGCATTTCAAAAAAAAAGCCAAAAATGTATACTGGTTCTCAAGTAAATAATAATGAAAATAGGAATTTTATAACTAGCAGAACAAATACTAACATAAAGGATGAGCGTCAAATAAACTTCAAAGGTACCAATAATAGTAATATGAATACGGCTCGCCGAAATAACGAAACAGTAAGAAGATGTTGTTGGAGATGTAATGAAAATCATCCTCTAAGATCTTGTCCTGCTTGGGGACATAAATGTGATAACTGTGGTGAGCGTAATCATTTCAGTTACTGTTGTAGACATGAGGGAAGACGCATAAAGGTGTGTAGAACTTTTTTAACATTACAATTTTACTATATTTTATTCTCGTTATAATTGTAATTATACTAAACGTTATATTAACTTTAGGCAGATACACCAACAAAATCATTCTACTCCAAAACCATTCTACAAGAAAATGTATTAAAGGTAGGAAATGAACACCCATTCTTAGAATTTGAGTTATTATTTATATATGTTTATTTATATCCTTCTTTCTTTTTAATATTAGCCTATCTCTACATTTATCAACAATATACCAGCACCTACTGAAGCCCAGTATCCAAAAGAAGCTGCTGTGGTAGTAGTGTTTTCTAATATTTCAAGTTTTATTGAATTGAAGGTGAATATAAGTAAACAAGAATTTATCTCTTACAGATTCCTAGTGCCCCAGTATTGTATGAATATGAGGATGCAATATATCCTAATTTTCAACATGTGGCAACTTCCCAAGAGAATCTGGTAAGTTTGGACTTACTTTACAAATGAGTAAAACAGTAGAAGAGACCTGAGTTACTTGACCAATCCTTAACATGTCTACTGTTCATAAATGAATCATTTGTATTTGGCATGTTGGATACCACAAGTTTGCAGATGTATATATGGATTGAACTTTGAAAATCATTCTAAGTGAAACTAAATCACAATTTTTATTATATTTAGATTGATAAGTAAAAAAATCTTGTCTGTGGAGTTAGCTAACTTGACATATGATTTTAAGTGTTTTAAGAAATTTTAATTACCTTTGAATCTACAGTTAGTACTGAAGACTCAGCATGCTTGTATTTTCATTGATTTTTGGAGGGGATATTTTCTTTAGCTTTATTTAGACTTTTAAATGCTCGTTTCTTAATGAAGTAATCAACGTTTTTAACATGTTAAGAACTGCGCGTTTTAAACCTTCGCGTACCAAATAAAATAAAATACCATAAACTATAATTACACATTTTTATATAACGTTTATAAAGAATTGTTAAGCAGTTTTTTGTGGACAATAATTCGTAAATGGAATAAAAATATTTATTTATCATTTATGATTTTGGATTTTTATTCCTACTGACAACGCGCGTTTGACTCATTAAATGACTATGAGTCATTCATAGTGTTGAATACTGTAGAAGTCTATAATATAATAACTCGATTCTATTAATTTTTTATATGAATTGAAATGTGTCTGTGAAAACTGGTACTTGAAAGCTGCTTTCAAGCATCGTTTAAACATATTTAAATGTTTAGAATGTGTATTTGGAAGATTTTACAGAAATCTACGTAGATATCATTTGTATATCTTTTACAATTGAGCTGGACAAATTCTTAAATTTAGATATTCGACCCTTTCTCAAAATGAAAATATTAAAATAGAAAAATGATTTTTAGATTTGTGTTCAGCTTCTTTATAAATATTACAGCAGCAATCTATTTAAAGAGAATTAGTCAATTAGTCCAAGCCTCCTCAAATTTCACATCTACAGAGTGTCCTGTAGTATGTGGAACCTATTTCAGAAATAAATTCGACATATGAAAACAATAAAAAAGGACCATGCAAACATATGTTCTATTCGACTTCTTTTTCAAGTTAAGACAAAGATTGTGAACAAATACTGTGCGTTATGGAAGAAACTCACTATAACTGAAAAATGAGATCATATGTTTATATGAACTTTTTTTATTGTTTTCTCTATAATACTGATGTCTTAATAGTAGCTTGTACAAAATATGAAACAACACTATTTTCTTTGTATTGGATAATAAGTCACTCGAATTTTATTAAATATTTCAATATGATTTATTAACTTTCAAACATGTAGCCACTGAATCCTCAAGCAAGCCTGTCAGCAACTGGAAATAAACAGCATAAGACACATTCAACTTCGAGGAAGGAGTTATGTTCAATATTATAAGAATAGCTAGTTAATAATAAGTATTATTATGATTCGTAATACAACTTTATATTAATTATATTTTAAGATTATGGACTAAAAAGAAGCAAAAGGAAAAATACTTAAGTCTCTTTGGAAATGTAATAAATAAAGTTTGTTAGCAGCAAAAAAAAATTAACGCATCATGTTATATCATATCATATAAAATTATATCAGATCAATTTCATTTTTAGTATAAGTTATCAACATATTGGGCATTAAATTCAAGTCGATCATTATGGTTATTTAAAAGAAACAAAGGTCATATTAAATGTATATTATTTTTCATTTCTAGGGTCAAGACATTTATTTGTTAAGAATTATATCACGAAAAGTGTGTGTCCAGAAATTGTTTTAGTAGCATTTACAGTGACTCCCATTAATAACTTTTTTAAAATTGGAATAGTGAAATAGAAATTTGTTTAGATGATGTAGGGACTAGTATAGTAGACAATGATTGAGCTACTTTGTTACAATTTTGCTATTACTTCGAATGACAAAAGAAAATAAAAGACTCCCGCTTCTTAACTTAACTTAATAATTTTAAAAAATGTATTTTGTGGATCTCGATAAGTTATATGCATGCTGAAAATTGCATCGAAATCGGATAATGCAAAGTCAAGTTACTAGCGTTAAAATATTGTAAAAATTGCAAATTTCTCACATTTATTGGTCGAAAGTGTCAAGAATCGAGATAAAACTGCGATTTTTGCGATCTCTAATTTTTTACAGTTCATACCAAGGTCAACCGATATCGGTGAAATTTTTAATATGCATATAACTTACCGAGATCTACGAGACACATTTTTTAAAATTTCGTTATAAGCTCAGATAAAAGAGTTAAAAACGAGAGTCTTTTAATTTTCTTTTGTCATTCTAAGCAATAGCAAAATTTAAAAAAAGGCATTCTAGTTATGGTCCAGTAGACTGATCGCTCTATCATCGAAAAAATTCAAGTCGTTTAGTGCACTAAAAAAGTTGTTGTGTTTTGAAAAGTGTCACTGTATGTTTTGTTTCGTGGCTTAGGTCTTAATAATTTGAAGAAACAGAAATTTAGCGCCTGTTTACAATACTCATTAAATTACCCAAAAATCATAAAGGCGTAGAATTAATTTATATAACTAAACCGACAATATCGGGATTGTATTGTTCCTATGAATATGGTGAACGAAATGGTGCACCAAATTTCTTGGTGCAAACGTATAAAATAGTATTCGATATAGTAAAATTATAATCATACGTCAATGCAATGATTGAATTGCGAAAAGTGGGGCACGTGCAAACTTCAACATTCCCTAGTGAATGTGGACGTTCACTCCATTTTCTCCGATAAAACTGACATCGTCTGTCGCCGCATCACTTGTTGCATTGTCCTGGAAATAATGAGACTGTACTGTATAAACCACTAGTAATGTATATGATTGCGACACATATATCGCGCGTGTGTGTATACGATCGTGATGTCTTTGTTCAAATGCACATAGCAGGACACTTAAAACTGGGGTAGCCGGTTCATTGACGTTCAACCGAAACAAGTATTTGGTGAGTGCGCCACGATTAGAAAATTATCCAGTTAATTTGGTTACAATGTTCATTGGAAATTGTGAGCATGTAATGACTGGACTCTCTGCGAATCNAGGAAATCTTAATACGACATTTTCATATACGGAATACCTGAATATATAATTTATCTGCAGAGTGTTATTCATTTAAAGTTAACGAACTTATTAATGGTATCGACATGGTTTTTTAATACTAAATCTACTGTGCTCATCGAAATGACCGGTTTCGCAGTTTTCATTTTGAAATTATACCCTGGAAGGAAATTACTGAATAAATTTAGTTCAAGAGTAACGTCCCAATAAAGCAACATGACAGTCATTGTTAGATCACGGTATGTTTAGTGTCAAACTTCATTATACATATAAAAGAATCTTTCGTACTACATGTATGTATACTTTATGTATGCAACAAAAATCTATCTAGTTTTACATAGGTAAAGTTTTACGTAGGAAACGGAAAATAATTTGATTCTTTTTAATTAAAGTGTGAGTAACATTTTTTATATTCCTGATAGTCTATATGTCTAGACAAAAAGAAAAGGAACAACTTCAATGAATAACAATATTTTTTGTATCATAATGCAAGAAAATTTTTAAATATGCTTCAATTAGGTAAATTATTCTGAAGAGAATTTAAAAAGTTTGATCACAATCATTTCGGCGAAATTCTGCATGCATATAACTTATCGAGATCTACAAAACACATGTTTTAAATTTTCGTTGCAGGCTCAGATAAAAAAGACAAAAAACGAGAGTTTTTAATTTTCTTTTGTCATTCTAAGCAATAGCAAAATTTAAAAAAAGGCATTCTAGTTATGGTCCAGTAGACTGATCGCTCTATCATCGAAAAAATTCAAGTCGTTTAGTGCACTAAAAAAGTTGTTGTGTTTTGAAAAGTGTCACTGTATGTTTTGTTTCGTGGCTTAGGTCTTAATAATTTGAAGAAACAGAAATTTAGCGCCTGTTTACAATACTCATTAAATTACCCAAAAATCATAAAGGCGTAGAATTAATTTATATAACTAAACCGACAATATCGGGATTGTATTGTTCCTATGAATATGGTGAACGAAATGGTGCACCAAATTTCTTGGTGCAAACGTATAAAATAGTATTCGATATAGTAAAATTATAATCATACGTCAATGCAATGATTGAATTGCGAAAAGTGGGGCACGTGCAAACTTCAACATTCCCTAGTGAATGTGGACGTTCACTCCATTTTCTCCGATAAAACTGACATCGTCTGTCGCCGCATCACTTGTTGCATTGTCCTGGAAATAATGAGACTGTACTGTATAAACCACTAGTAATGTATATGATTGCGACACATATATCGCGCGTGTGTGTATACGATCGTGATGTCTTTGTTCAAATGCACATAGCAGGACACTTAAAACTGGGGTAGCCGGTTCATTGACGTTCAACCGAAACAAGTATTTGGTGAGTGCGCCACGATTAGAAAATTATCCAGTTAATTTGGTTACAATGTTCATTGGAAATTGTGAGCATGTAATGACTGGACTCTCTGCGAATCTCTATACAGTTATGACAAAAAGGAGTGAAACTGGAAACAGAGTAGAAGAATTTAAGAACGTCGACATATTTCAGATTATATAAATTATGCAATTTTTTCATTCATTTAACACTCGAACGGCGAATCTTTTGGACAAAAGTATAATTGAATATGCGAATATCAATGTTTTAATTATTTCAATGATATCAATTCAAGATGCATTAGTTTTTCTATAGATCTTAACGAAATATGTGAAAATTTAAATTTGTGTTCTCATGACTAAATCGAATAACAAGATTTATACTCGGGGTCCAGATGAACCCGAGCCGTTCGAGTGTTTTAGGAAAGCAGATATCTTATTTCTGTTGCTTATGATTTCTGCAAAACATTTGTATTTTTCACGAAGATTAGCAGTCTAGCAGTGACAATAATATTTTCTAGTAATTTTCTTACAAAAGATGTGAACTTCTCTTCGTGTATGTTTTTCTAAATAATTTCTCTAAAGAAAATAATTGAATTGTCTAATATTTCATTAAATTTGATGTGTTAAATGATTCTCTTGACATAATTGTTGCCTACAGCAGTCAATGTTTCGAATTCAAGTGATCAGAAAGATCAATCAATCGCAAACTATTAGTTTCATAGGTCATTTGCAGGTTGATGTCTGTGCCCAAAATTAGAAAACAAAGTGATATCGAGAAATTTAAATGAATTAATCGAAAATATTTTGCTTGCAACAATAAGAGATTTTTGTAAAGAAATAGAAGGAAATATAGAAGGAGAAATAGAAAGAAATACCAAAAAATGGAAATGTGCTTCTTCATTGTAGGAAACAGATTAGTTAGTGAGTAGAATTATTGATGCTTCAGTAAGTAGTAGATGAATGCCACGAGTAAGACATAAAGAGTAATATATAAGACATTGAGAGATAGAATTAAAATTTTGCTTGTAGAATATTTGTACGTACAGTATGAAAAATAAAATATATGTTACAAAAATTGTTAATGAATTGAGCACGCTGTGACAAAATATTCTTTTTATATGAATATGTATCTCAAATGTACATTTAGAAAAGTCACGTTTACATAAAAATGAAAGGCAACATACTTACACCATGATGTAGTATAACGCAACTTCTCACATTTGATTATAATTGCAATATAATCAACGGTTTATAACGTGACGAATACATTCGAACACATTTTATATATTTACTGCTTTAACTCTAACTTTCATTTTTGTAAAAAAAGAAAATATGAAACGGTTTGTAAAGATCAATTATTTCTTGCGAATACAATTTTTGTTCAATATTTCCATTTTGTTATATTACGTCATCATATATTTCTGCAATAATTTTCAGTATTTCATAATATTTTGTCAAAAGTCCTAAAAATTGCACTTAAATGAACAACTTACGTATGACCTTGAGCGATTATCAAATACTAATAAAGATATCGAAATTTAATTGTTCGATTAAAATTATATGCTTATTATTTGATTGAAATTATAAATAAACATGTTAAAGATCACGATAATGAAGATACAAGTAAATATTATACAGCTTCGCATCGCAACAAATACTGAAATGCCTGCGCATTAATTTCTGCGCGATTTCTAAATTAAGCTGGGTCAGTTGAAATTCGAAATCTAGGGCACGCCTTAAGTAATAAAATTTTACTCATTCATACGTGTGCCAGCAGTAAAGAAATCTGAGATCGAATTTCTCAGTTAAACGGATATAGGATCGGTGAACAATTTCGAAAAGTTTTAATGAAACCCATACATCAAAATGTATCGCAAATAATAACCACTGAAGTTGGAAGTTTTATTACGTGATTATGAAGTGGTATTACCCTCTCTTTCATTAATCGTGCAGCCTGGTTTTATACTTTCGATACATTGCCCTATTTTACATGCAGTGCATATATTGCTCCACTTTTTCC